TTCCATTATAGAGAAAGGGCAAACAGTGATATTAAAATATTTCTTCTAATTAATTTCCTTTCAATGTGCATGAATCTGTGCACCAGGCCACTAGTATATTTATAAAAAAAAACCTGCAATCATCAAAACAATGTGGTATTGGTAAAAGACAGACATAGACCAACTCTCGCATATATGGTCAAATGATTTTTGAAAAGGATGCTAAGACCAATGGGGAAAGGACAGTCTTAAAAAAAATAGTGCTGGGAAAACTGGATATTCACATGCCAAAGAATGAAGTTGGACTCTCACCTAACACCATCTATAAAAATTAACTCATAATGGATCAAGGACCTAAATGTAAGACCTAAAACAATAAAACTCTTAGAAGAAAACCTAGGACAAAAGCTTCACGACACCAAACTTGGCAATGATTTCTTGGATATGACACCAAAAGCACAGGTAACAACAATAAAAAGACAAATTGAATTTAATAAATTTTTAAAATGTGCATTAAAAGATATTATTCATAGAGTAAAATGGCAACCCACAGAATGGGGAAAAAATATTTGCAAATCATATATCTGGTAAGGGATTAATATCCAAAATATACAGAGAACTCCTAAAACTCAACAACATGAACAACAAAGGAAAAGATTAAAAAATGGGCAAAGAACTTGAGTGGACATTTCTTCAGAGGATATATGAATGACCAATGAGCATATGAAAAGACATAGTATAATGATAGTTGCCAGGGATTGGGGGAAGGGAGGGAGGAAAGAATGGAAGCTATTGATAAATGGAGACAGTTTCAGTTTTATAAGATGAGAGTTACAGACGGGGATGGATGATGGTGGTGATGGGTGGACAACAATGTGAATGTATTTAATACCACTGAACTTTACAGTTAAAAATGGTTAAGATTGTAAATTTTATGTAATGTGTATTCTACCACAATAAGAAAAAAAGGAAAAATAAATAAAATTAAAATAAGGAGCCTTTTTGATATACGGACAACAGAAAAAATATTTTAAAGTTTTGGGTTTTTTTGTTTTTTAAACAGACAAACCAGAATCAGGCCAGCCTGAAATTAAAACCTACCAAGATCAACTTGGCAGTAGCAGGATAACAATGGGGTATTCACATAGTCTCCTCAGGAATTCAGCAAATGTGAGGGTTATGGGGAATTTCATAAATCAAAAGGGCAAAATGTTCGGAAAAAGAATTATGTGAAAATAAGAATCTGTAACCGGAAATAAGAGGGAAGAGTGACCAGGGTCTGAAATAGGATGTGATTTTTAAATCCCTTAAGACATGTATTAATAATTGCCTGTGTGCTATTCCTGCTCTCATAAGCAGCCCTATCTTCATAGTGAATGTTAGAGTGGACCCAAACCCTGGGAAGACGAACTTGGTACAGATGTGCCAACCACAAGTCTTTAAAAGGGGCACACCTCGTTGGTTCCATCAGAGTCCCAAAGTGGCCTTCTGGGGTAAATTAGTGCAGTGCAGGTCTACAGTATCGACTCCATGTCTGTGATGTTCAAAAACAAGCAATATTGCCCTGGCTGGTTTGGTTCAGTTGTTATGAACGTTATATGAAATGTCCAGAATAGGTAAATTCATAGAGACAGAAAGTAGATTGGTGGTTGCCAGGGACCGGGGGCGGGGAGGGAAGAAATGGGGAGTGACTTTTAAGGGTACTGAGTTTTTTAGTAGGGGTGTTTGAAAATTTCCTGGAATTAGATAGTGGTGATATTTGTACAACATTTTATAATTACTAAAAACCTCTGAATTATGTACTTTAAAATGGTCAAAATGACGGCAGGGGGAAGGGGGCAACAAAATTTTTTTAAGTAGCAAACTGAAAGCTTAATAACATTTCTCTTTGTCAAAGCACCTGTACATTTTGTACATATTTGTCATCAGAGAATGTGCATTATTAGACCCATGTGCCAAGCAATTCTAATTGGTCATGTGCCTAGTCCCTGGTTGTATCAATTTACCATTATTGAATACAATTTTAAAAAATTATACTCCTACCCTATGCCTGGCACTTAAGAAGTACTATAAATATTTATTGAATTGCCTACGCTTGCTATTCCTATTTCATTAGTGTGGCCTATTGCAGTTTAGCTATAATTGCCTATTATTTCAGATTATTTTAGAAAAGATAATGTCCCTTAAATGATATGCTTTTTAATAAGAGCTCCACATTTTCCATTTGTAAGCTATGTGTGTATATTTTTTCAGATAGAAAATATGCTTACCTTTTCTGATCACAAAGGTAATATTTAATAACTAGAGGCCCGGTGCACGAAATTCATGCACGGGTGTGGTCCCTAGGCCTAGCCAGCGGTCAAAGCGAGAGCGTCTGGCCTGGAAGGGCAGATCCCAGCTGACCTCTGGGCCCTGGGCAGCACCTGGGCCTGCATGCCCCTCTCTGCCTGAGTCACAGCAACCAAGTCCCTACGTGGAGGTGCAGTGAGCGTGGCTGGACACCGCGGGCCAGGGTGCAGCATGGGCCTCTGGGCCGCCCAGCAGTGCTGCACAGAAGCTGGGCGAGCAGCATTCTCTCTCCCAGCTGGCCTTGTAGACCAGCTCTTGTACGAACCCACTGGGAGCCTGACCAGCCCCTGTGGTCTCACCTGAAAGAGACTGTGCGGGTGTGGGCGGGCTCCTTGCGGCACCCTGCACCTGAGCATCGGGGGAGCTTCCCCGGTGCTCGAGCCCTAGAGTCCCGGGGGAGGGGAGCAGGGGGAGTGAGAGCAAGCTCGGGGACATCTGCATCCTCACTGCACCTCTGTCCCCATCAACCCCGCCCCCAGATAGCCGGCGAGAGGTTGCAGTGCGTTGCTCGCTGATGCTTGCCCGCCATGTTCCACACCACCCCTTGGTGGTCAGCGCACGTCATAGTGAGCGGTCGAACTCCCGGTTGAACAACTGCCCAAGGGGACAATTTGCATTTTAGGCTTTTATTATATAGGATTTTAAGAGATTTTGATAATGGTCTTGCCTGGACTATGGCCTTTAGCTTTTAGAAGCCTCCAAACAATCACATATTTGCAAAGGAGTTTCTTCTTCTTTGTACTTTCTCTGCCCTGTCCTTCTTTTCATTATCTTCTCTGCCTCTTGAGTTTGCTTGGCTTTCATCATATCTTTCCAAATAGCATCTTAGTTGCCTTTTCTCAGATGCTTAGGATGCCATTGTCCTCGTGTCCAAAGATCATGTCTATCTTATTTGCAAATAAGAAGGAAGAATAGAGTGTTTGCCATTTGTTCTGCCAAATCAACACCCTTAATTCCTAACTTCTCTCCCCTCCCATACTCCCCTCCTAAAGGAGCAGGGACTCTGAGACTTCTCTCTTTCTCTGTGTGTGGCAGAGATGTGCACAGCCTGCCTTTTTGCTGCTCAGTGGTATCTGGTCCCATTTCCCTGCTGCGCTCATGACTCAACCACCTCAAAGTGAGAGTTATTTTCCAGGAATGAGGATGATCTCATATCCTCTGTGTCCTTGCCTGAAACCCTCTTTTTACCTGATAGCAAACTTGGGCAAGACAGTTCACCAGAGAGAGGGTGGAGCCCAGAGTGAAACTAACAGGTCTTCTCAGCGATGGAGAGGTCAGTGGCTCTTGGCTTCCTGTGGACAGTAAGTGACTCATACCTGTGTCACCTGCGGCCAAGTAAGGATGTGGGTCCGAGACAGGAAATGAAAGGGCAGAGCAGAGGAAGACCAGGCGCTCCCCCTGGAGTTGTGGATGCACATCCAGTGAGCTGGCAGCCATTGCTTCCTCACTGATGTGACGACAGAGAATGATTGAACCTGAGGATGGAGCAGCTATTTGTTGAATGGCGGTTCATCTGTCTATAGCTCCACTCCGTCCTTCTTGTTATTCTGTTTGTTTGGATTTCAAGCCTCAAAGCCTATTTCCCACCTTCTTCCCTCTGATTTAATTTAAACCTCTTCTTCGTAAAGTCTCTTCTGGGATTGTGGATGCTGGGATGCGGGGTGCACTTTATACAGTCAAAGAGGCAGCCAACCTCATTCACAAGAACAGGGAAGTTGTAATTAGGAAGATAGTGGGTCTCCTTTTTCCGTTTAAATGAGCTGGGTTAGGGAGGGGGCCCTTTTGTGAAGGATGTGGGCAGCTTTCTCTGTGTAGAGAACCTTGTCAGTCTAAAATTCTCAGGGAGAGTTCCAAAGTCTGGGGAACTTGTAAGTTTAGAATTGCAGTGTGGTTTTATATCTGCTGGTTTATGTCTTTTCTGCATTTAGAACTAAATTTATTTAAAAGAATACAACAATGAAATGATAATGGCAGCTAAAATTAGTAATGGTAGCTATGTTTATTCTGTGATCTCTTCTGGAGGTGTTGTCTTGAGGAAATTTAGGCAGTGTGTGTGTGTGTGTGTGTGTGTGTGTGTGTGTGTGAAAGAGAGAGAGAGAGAGAGAGTCGCCCAGCCATGAGTGGTAGAGCTCGGGTTCAGACTCATCTCTCTGCCCCGACACCCATGCTCTCACTATGCCCTGTGCCAGGCCACAACCAACAGAACAAAACGCCCCACTGTCAGGAGGCTGTATGTTTATGTGTTTATTTCTCTGAATGACTCTAGATTTTCTCTTTGTCATTTCTGTGCTTGTGTCCTTCACAAAGCCTTTTAGCATCCTTTTATTCTTCCCCAGTAACATCTGACATGATGCCGGGGGCCTACGAGCAGGATATTTTGCTCAAAACATCTGTTTCTCATCATTTTAGAAAATTATCCTTGACTTCTGTTCTCTTTTTGCTTGTATTTCCTCTCTAGAATGCTTCTTCTTTAAGATTATAGTGTTCCTGCATAAGAACTTGGAGAAATGTAAAGAGGTTTTTGAGCAAGCAGTGGAGTTTTTAGCCTGTTTGTTGTCACACTCAGTTGCCCTAGTGAAAGTGGGTTGTCTTCCTCATGATGCAGAGGAGACAAGTGTATAAATGGATGCAGTTAGAGCAGTTAAACCGCTGACCCAGTAAGGCGTATTGTCCTTGGCCACAGTTCCTCTGTCACGTGTGCATTTCTCTGCATTGAACAAATCACGTGAGCCCAGGCCCAGCACCGTTCCCTGGGGAGGCTGGAGTTCTGATCCTGGGGCGAAGGAAGAAAGCCAAAGGCGGGAGGCCGCGTGGAGGAGGTGCTGTGAGGACGAGGAGTGGCTCTGAGTCTTGGGGTTGACAGGAAACCATGGCTCAGAACACATTGGCCCTTTGCCCTCTCTTTCTTTTTTCCCATGTGACAAATCAGCTTATTAGCATCAGATTTAGGGTTGTGGCCCTTTGCCCCTCCTGAAGCTGCAAACAGTGCCCGGGAGATAGGCTTTCTGGTGATGCCACGTTGTGCTCCTGGTTTTAGGTCCATGCCATTTCTCTGTCCCCCTCCTCTCGCCCCAACCCCATAATCTGAGATCTCTGGCTGATGGCCCTGCTGACGAATAGCCTGGCACCTCTGCAGGGTTCCATCTTGTGGGCAGGTGGAGTCTGAGGACACACATGTTCCTTGCTTCTCCCCTTCTTCCTCCTTCTTCCCTTTATGCCCTGGTTAGAGGCATGGTATATTCTGGGTACATGGGAAAACAAACTCACGTGTCCCTGTTTCACATACCCCTCGCTCTGTCTCCAGTAATCTGCTTACTTCAGGTCAAACAGTCTCATTCTGAATCCATTTATCCATATATTCATTCAACAAGGGTTTTGTGCCAGGCACTGTGGTAACACCTACATGCTCAGGGCCATTATCTGATATTATCTGACCAGTATCACTTGCAGAAGTCTGGGTCACGAATGTGCCTTTGACCTCTTACCCATTTTTTAAACTCAGATATTCCTCTTGAGTAATACAGTAGCTCTTCTCCAAGGAGTTGAGGCTGAGGTTTTAATTCGGACCTCGTTCAAAGGGGGAGCCTGGAGCAGGCCCCTCCCGGCCAGGCCTCATTCTTTCCTCAGTGATGGAAGTGAGTTCTCTTCCCACCCCACTCCCTTCGGTTATGTTTGCTATTCCTAGCACATGTGGTCAGGATTGGCTCATTCACTGCCGCTGGCCTGGAGCCCATTCACTGTTGTTGTTACTCTGTCCCTCGCGCCCCCCATGGCTTCTCATTCCTTCTCAGCTTAAGCTCCCGGAGACCTCAGGAGAGTCTGTCATCAGCCACAGGAAGCCACACCCGAAGACGCTCTTTAAGCGAAGGGAGAATTTGAAAATAGAAACATTTTCTTCCTTTATTTTACCCTCTGAGACTAACCCGATGACTTGGGACAGCCCATTTTGGCCCATGGTGCCAGGATTGTCCAGTCTTTTCTACGGACTCTCCTGAAACCCTCTGATTTGCATGGATACCGAGGCTTGTGGGCGTGGCCTCGCTCCTCTCTGAGCTGCCAGAGTAGAGTGACTCTGGAGAGAAGAGATCTTCAGGGAGGAGTCCCAGGTCTTGTCCTCTCCTCTGGGCCCTCGCCACCTAGCGGGTCTCTGCTGTGAGGCCAGGGTGAGCTGAAGCCTTTAGTTCATTCTCTTGTTTATTTCTTCTTCCGTCTCTCACCTTTCCACCCATCTCCGCTCCACCCACACCCCAAAAAGAGAATGTGAGAAGTAGAAATGTTAAGAGTAGCGTCGACTCTGTAGACTTCAGACCTAGTGCTTTATCTCTCTTTGACAGGAGCTGCGGGTGGAAGCAAGAATTCTGACTACTTTCACATGAACTTTTCTTAAATGCACAGTTCTTGGGGAGGAGGAGAGGATTTCACTTGCTGTTTGCCTTACCAGCTAGAGAGCTCAAAGGCTGCAGCCACGGAAGGGACTTGGGCATTTTGACAAAGATTTTGCAGTGGAGGGTGAGTGCTCCGTAGGGGATAAGAGTACGTGCTCCATAAGGGATAAGAAAACGTGCTAACTTTAGGAAGCGCTGACAGGCTTCCAGTCTGCCCCGCTCCTGCAGCAGGAGGCCCTCCTGGACCACCAGGCCTGGCAGCCCTTCCCCACAGCCGCCCGGGGCTGAGTGCTGCTGTCCTGAAGGCGGAGGCCTGGTGCTGAGGCGCCTCTTGCCCCAGGTCACTCAGGTTCAGTCCCTTATTGTGGGGGCTAAAAAAATTAACACTTTCCCTCCAACCTTCTACGTTCTTAGCTGGGTTAATAATCAAATTAGCAGAGACATTTAACAGGAGAAAGTCAAAGTTTTAATCCGTGTGCATGGGGAATTCACTTAGGAATGGATATTACAAAGACAGGCAATGTGGAGTATAGAAGACATTTTGTGTAAAGGAGAAAAGGGGGTTGGTGAGGAGATGGGGTATTAGGTTTCAGAAGTGAGAATGGGCATAGTTGAAGAGGGTACACACATGGCAGGAAAATTCTTTCTAGGTGACTGAGTAACCATGGAACACAGTGGGTTCTAGCTAACAGGCCCCTGCCGAAAGCCTCTTACTGACCATACTTAATTCAAATAAGCCTGAGCTGAGTATCCTAAGATCTTCCTAAGCAGGTTTTTCTGTCTGAATCTCTGGGGCAGGAAAGAGGGGGAGGGTCAAAGGTTCTTTTTGAGTTTTGTGTATTAATCAACAGCTTAAAGTCAATATCCCAAAAAGGCAGCTTCAGGGTGGCAGAACTTTGGTTCCCTTCAGTATACAGAATGCCAGAAGTTTCCCAGATCCTCCCCCCTCGTCAGGAACTTTCTTATACCCACCAGAACAGTTGACATGCGTTCATTTAGGCCTGGCTAAGGCAAAGCACCTCCATATCAGACAGAGCCTGAGAACTATGTGCAAAGCAGCAAACACACACCCACTATGAAATACGATCAGTCCTCCAGGCCCAGTTCCAGTTTTCCTGGGAGCTTAGTTCTGGAATTTCAGACCTGACCTCCATTCTTAGCTTATCAATTCTCCATGCCCTTGGCTCCTTTCTCCCAGGTAGGAAATCTCGGGAAACCTGTACACACCAGCCCTTTACAGTGAGCAAGGACTTTCACATACATGCCCACGGGGTTCGGGATATCATTTTGCAGATGAGTTGCCTGAGGTCACGAAGAACCCTGCCTGGGATCCAGGTGTTCTGCCACCAAATGTCCTGCACATTCTGTGTGGCCATGTCTCCCTTTAAGGTTTATTAGTTCCTTAAACATTGACTCGGTGCCTCCTTAGTCCGCTGCTCAGTCAGATGTGGGACACCAAAATGAATAAGCCACGGTCTCGGGCCTGGCAATGGGGTGAGCTGCTTCGCTGCCTCTAGCCAACTATGTCACCTGGGAGGTAAGGCTCTTTAACCTCATTAGGAGCACAGACTACACGTGTAAAGCTGCTTGGCAGCCAGCAGAACAGGCATTCTGTCCACAGCCATGAACCTGGCCTACCCATTGCCAAGGTAAGACAGTGGTCTGGGCAAAATGGCGGGGTCACTCGGTCAGGACTGATCTTCTGAGGTGAATGGGGGAGCCGGGCCCACACACAGAGCCTGGGGATGCAGAGCAGAGCCGGGTAGAGCCGGGTGGAGGCCTTGGCCCCTGTGTGCAAAGGTCATTTGTTCTTGCCAGTCCCACCAGCAGTAGACTCTATTGGCGGCTAAAAGAAATGCAGGTTGTGTGTTTGTTTGAGGGCGGCGGCGGGGGGAGCAGGGAGAAAGCCTAGTTAGCATTAATCATGAGATGCTAAAAGTTGGGAGCAATAGCTTAGCCGAGGATCCAGAAAGAAGTGGGGGCTTGCTCTGTGGCCAGGACCTCTATCTGATCACCCTCGTTAGGGTTCCCAGACCCAATTACAACATGAGGGCAAGGGAGTTCCCCCGGCACCAAACAAACTCAATTCTGACACAATCCTAGGGGTGGAGAACATCTTGCCTGCGGGCTGGGCTGTATGAGGCCCATGAAATCATTTGGTCTGGCTCTCCCAACGCATTAGGGATGAATTAATTAAATGTTTGATCAAATGTAGCAGGCTAATTTTTAAGTTGATAATTTTGTATGGCCTTCAAATGATGCTATAAATATCCAAATGGCCCCGGGCAGAAAAAAGGTTCCCCACCCCTGCTCTACTCAGAGACAGCCTCAGATTCCACAGGTTAAGGGCTCAGTCCTGCAAGATGCCTCCCCTCCAACCGCCACCCCCCGCCTCTCTCTTTCTCTCTCAGCCAGATTCTTACCTGTGCTCTGACCAACCTGTTATAGATTGGGCAAGATATGTGGGAATGGGCACAGAGCTCCCAGCTCTCTCCAGGTGCACTGCTCTCCCCAAGTCTCCACACGTTCACCATCCCGGAGCTCTCTGAACTCATCCTCGTGGTTTTTTGGAGGCTTCATTACACAGGCACTGTTGATTCAATCACTGTCAATTGATTCAACCTCCAGCCCCTCTCTCCTCCCTGGAGGAGGTTGGAGGTGGGCATGGTTAGGTATGGTAAGTGGGGAAGGAACAGAAAGTTCTAACCGTGAGGGCCACTGGGTTGGCTTCATTGGCAACCAGCCCATCCTGAGGTGCTTTCCGAAAGTTACTTTATTGCTCTAACAACACACCTCTTTCACTCTCAACACTTGGGAAATTTACATATGTTTATGGAGGTGTATTTCCTGAATGACCAAATAATTTCTTACAAATTACAATATTGCACCCTCCATTCATTTAGCACAAAACTTCAGGATATTTGTCTCAGAACCTAGCACACTGTCTCCGGAGGAATCACATCCCATGAGTGAGGCTCCAGGAGGCCTGTTTCCCTTCTCCCAGTAGCTGCATCACCCCTGCAACCTTTGGTCTCTGCATGGTCACTGAGCTTCAGGGGGCTGGGTAGCTGAGAGAGACTTGTATTTGCTCCACAACTGTTTAAGCACTCACCGAGTTCTAAGTGCTGGAGACACAGCAGGGAACCAGAAAGTCTAAGCCTGAACTCCCTTCCTTGGGGGAAAATGACAGAAGGCCATCACTGTTTAATTACAGTGGTGGTAAGTGCTGCAGAGAGCACGGAGGGCAAGGAGCAGGCCTTCACCTGGTGGGTGGACCAGGGGCAGCCTGCCCCTGAGCTTTATCTGCCTCCCCAGCTGCCAGTGGCTGGGTGTGGATCTTGGCAGAATACCGGGAACCTTAGGCAGGTTTCAGCAACTCAAACTGTGAAACAGAGTGGAGGTGTTACCAGCCATGTGGACTCTCCGTTCTTGACTTTGTGCGGGAAAGATTTCACAATACAAGTCCAGGTGTTTATTAGAGTATGTTTATTAAAGCTGGGGACAGTGAAACAAAGGAAGGGCTTAGGATAGAAGAGGCAAGATCATGCAACAGGAGTGAGCCTAGGTGGAACTGCTTTAGCCCTTTATAAAGAAAGTCTCAGAGCCCGAGCTGGTTTGGCTCAGTGATAGAGCGTCAGCCTGCAGACGGAAGGGTCCCAGGTTCAACTCAGGTCAAGGGCACATGCCCAGATTGTGGGCTTGATCCCCAGTAGGGGTCATGCAGGAGGCAGCTGACCAATGATTCTCTCTCATCATGGATGTTTCTATCTCTCCCTTCCTCTCTGAAATCAATAAAAATATATTTTAAAAAAAGAAAAAAGAAAGAAAGTCACAGAGACAGAAGAAGTGAGCCAGCTGGGCTGTGTGGACTCAGGAAACAAGTTGCTGAGGGACCATTCAAGAAAACGAGCAGTGTGCCTTAGGGAAGAAAGGTGGGGATGGGGGGCAGGGGGAGGGGGTTAGCCCTGGCTGCATAGCTTAGTTAGAGCCTTGTCCTGATATGCCAAGATTGCAGATTTGATCCCTGGTCAGGGCACATACAAGAGTCAACCAATCAATGCATAAATAAGTGGAACAGCAAATTGATGTTTCTCTCTCCCTTTCTAAAAATCAATAATTTTTTTTTTTTTAAATGTGGGGGCAATGCACAGACATGCTCTAGAGCAGCGGTTCTCAACCTGTGGGTCGCGACCCCTTTGGGGTCGAATGACCCTTTCACAGGGGTCGCCTAAGACCATCAGAAAACAGATATATAATTACATATTGTTTTTGTGATTAATCACTATGCTTTACTTATGTTCAATTTGTAACAATGAAAATACATCCTGCATATCAGATATTTACATTACGATTCCTAACAGTAGCAAAATTACAGTTATTAAGTAGCAACGGAAATAATTTTATGGTTGGGGGCCACCACCACATGAGGAACTGTATTAAAGGGTCACGGCATTAGGAAGGTTGAGAACCACTGCTCTAGAGAGACAGAGCACATGCTGTGTCTTTTGTCTTAAGGGTTTTTATGTTTTCTAAAGGCAGGGATTTTAGGGGAGGATCTCAATAGAATATTCATAAGCTTTTAAGGTGTGTCCTTTCAGGATCATGGTCTCTACTGATGGGCTGGTGCTAGGATAGGAGGTCATGGGTCATTGCACTGGTCTTTTTGTTGTTACTCCTCACCTGAGGATATTTTTCCATTGATTTTTCGAGTGGACTGGTGGGCTGACTTCAACACCCTGTAATTGACAGCTCTAGGGCCTAGTTTGAGCTGAACGGACTGCTTCCTGTAGTTTCAAATCTAACCAGCTCTCTGCTTGTTTTCTCTCTGCCCCCACACCTTCCCACTGTTTGATCTCAACACAGAAGAGGCACCTTCAATTCTTCGGATTGTTTTCCTGCTTCCACACTGGAGAGGGCGATGTGGTGAGAGTATGGTTGAGGAAAGAGAGCAAAAAAGGCAGAAGATACAAGGAGGAGGCCAGCAAATACCATCATCTTACCCTGCTCAGGCTGTTGTTCCCTTAGGGGTGGAGGGTGTGGGGGAGCTTGCCCACCAGTTCTCTGTATTCCCACCACATTCCCTCCTGCCAATTCAGAGCTGGCCTAGATTCCTGCCAACTAGCCCCTTGGTTCAATGTTAACAAAGGCGCTTTTCCCTTTTCTCCTTCCACAGCGAAGGTCTCTGCATAGGGAAGGCCCCCTTTGACGAATCCTTACCCAGAGCTTGTACCTTTTCCCAGATAGCCTCAGACTTTCCTTCTTAGACCTGGACCAGGGTAATCTGTTTCCTAAACTCGTGTCCTGAGGCTTTCACCTCTCCTCCCAAGGGGATTAATATCCCTACGCTGGGCTCTTCCCAGAGGTGTAGGGAGATTGAGGTAAGGTATGGAAAAGTGCCTGAAAAAACAGACTAAGATCTCACGCTGTAGAAATGTCCCTCAGACCATTCTTGCTCCTGGACGAGGCTGAGGCCTAATTGCCGGCCCCTGTAGCTCACCCACCCAGCAGGACACCAACCAGATGGCCAGTCTCAAAGCGGATGTGGTAGTCAGTGGCACCTCTCCGCCTCCAGTAGGGAAAAAGCACCAGGTGCCGTCCTGATGTGGGGAGGACAGGGCCAGCCCCAGCTCAGAAGGCAGAGCGCCAAAAGCAGGGAGTCTGCTGGTTGTCACTTCAGTATTCCAGCCAACCCTCTTCTCTTGCTAACCCCGGGAGGCGCCTCCAGTGGGTGTCGCTGTCCTCATTTTCCAGAATCTCTGCTGTGACTTGTGCGTTAAAGAGGAAGCAGAAAGCTGCTTGTTGTCAGCTCTGGAGAAAGATGGAGGAGAGGTGGAATCAGAAGTACTGTGTGGGTCAGCATCCTGGACCCGAGAGAAGTGAACAAGTTCCCTCCCACACTGAGTTTTCCTTTAACTCCTGGGTCTCCCGGACACGCCTGACTCAGGCCCTCTGCCCCGTTCACATTTCATTGGCAGGCTCAGCCCATGCACTTCTCTGGATACCATCTGCCCTGTAGGCAGTGAGCTCTGAACCAGGGAGGCCCTCTCTGACCAGTTAACCTTGGGTTCAGGAAGCCAAGCAAAGACAGAACAGTAAGCTATCGACTGGGCTTTCTCCAAGAACTCCTATCGGAGCTCAGCCTGGTTTGTGCTCTGTTTTTGCGATAGTGGGGTGGGAACTCTATTCCCATCTTGACTGGCGTGGTTGTTGGGATAACACCACGTTAAACGAATTGATCTGGGCGGGTTTAATAGTATGTTCAAGCATTTAAACACCTTGCTAATGAAGTCAGACTGTTGCCCATGGGGAGAGCTCTACGTCTCCACCTGTTGCTAGTGGGAGTGGGCTTCTTGTAATATCCTGAGAAAAAGAGTTTTCTGAGATTTGCACGGGAGGATGAGATATTGTAAAAAGCTTTATTTCTTTGGAATCAAACCCCTGAGTTTCCAAGATCCTATTTTCCCGAGTCCCACCATGGAAGTCCCATTTGCTTCCAGTCGAGCTGAAATCAAAGCCGGTGTCCAGCGTTCCCGCTCTGTGCTGGGACAGTCCGATCTAGCATCAGGCTAGCTTAGTGTTCCCAGCTGCAGTCCTTTTGTTCATGGTGTGAGGGGTCCATGTGGCCCATGGAGAGAGCTCCTTTGTTTGGGGGATTATGTATCCCCACATTTTCACAGGCTTGCAAGGCCCTGCCTGCTCTAGCCAATCCATGATTCCCAGGCTTGACTGACATGCACTTTCCCTGCGTCACTCCCATTCATTGCACATGGGCCCATCTTCCCTTTTGTTGGACCCCTTTCTGGTGAACTTCAGGGAATGGGCCGGTGGCTCCCTGGGGAGTGTGGAATTGCAGCTTCCTGGAGAATGCTTATAATGTCTGGCCTCCCTTTTGCTCCTTTCCTGTTATTAATAACTAGAGGCCTGGTGCACAAAATTTTGTGCACTGGGGGGGAGGGGGGTCCCTTAGCCTGGCCTGTGCCCTCTCGCAGTCCGGGACTCCTCACTCCTTACCACCAGCCTGCAGTGGAGGCTGGAGAGGCTTCCACCATGCTGCTGGACTTGCCAGCTGTAAACCCTCAGCTAGAAGCTGTGGTGGCTGGAGCCTCTCTTGCCTCCGAGGCAGCACTAAGGAGCAGCGAGCCTGGCTTCTGGCTGAGTAGAACTCCCCCTGTGGGAACGCACTGACCACCAGGGGGCAGCTCCTGTGTTGAGCGTCTGCCCCCTGGTGATCAGTACATGTCATAGCAACCGGTTGTTCTGCCATTCGGTCTATTTGCATATTAGGTTTTTATTTTAAAGGATTAGCTAATTACAGTGGTATTAAGACCAGGCCAGTGGCTCACAAGAGCCACTAGGTAACATGTCCCCTCATGAGGAATCTAGTCTTCTGGCCCCGTGGAGAGAAAGGACCATGATGTCACCAGTTCCAGGGGGACATCCCCAGGCACAGCAAGGTCTCAGCAGGAATGCTCCTTTTCTCAGGTCAGAAGCCCTCTCTCCTGGCTGGCTCTCCCTCCCTGGCCTGGCCCCCCTTCCTTTGTAAAACCCAAATACCACTGCCTGTAATTGTCCGCCAGAATCCATAGGCTGTGGCTTTTGACCATCCCCTCCAGCTCACCCTTGACCTGGTTTTGTTTTTTATTCTTCCTTCAAACAGTCTGTTCAAGGTCTACCCCTGAGCAGAGATTGGCTCACGAGCAGCCTCTGTCCTCTGAGCTGTAGGGGAGAGGGCAGTTCTGGAAAGTCATTGACAGAGGCCTGAGTAAAACATCAGTTATAAACAAGCAGCAGGCAGAGGGCCCAGATTTGGGTGTCCCAGCACCAGGAACAGTGTGGCCTCCTTAGAGCTGTGCAGACCGCTGCCCCGGTAAGAGGACCACCTTTCCGAGGCCTCTAGAAGCACACCGTCCCGGAGGGAGTTGCAAGCACGGTGGCCATTGTTTCTCTTCCCTCTGGAACTTGGCAGCCTTCTAGTATTTTGGAAAGGAGAGGGCAGAAGGATTCTGGGAATGTCCTCAGAGACAGGAATCCAGGGGATGGGTGGGGTGGGCTGGATCGATGCTCACA